CAGGCTCCTCTGCTGTTGGCCGGAGGAGAGCAGCAGCAGCAACAGTAATGGCTGACATCGCGTGAATGCTGCCCTAAGCCTTGTGTGTGTGGCACATTACAGACGCTCACAGCAAGGCTATGAGGGGCGTATATCATTAGTCTGTCGTCACACGATAGGATTGAAAATCAGAATAGTTGTGTGGTTTACTGAAGGTTACACGGCTAGCAAGTGCCCGAGCCAGGAATCAAGCACGCAGATTGTGGTTGTGGAATAGTGTGGTGAGACTGGGTTCAAAATATTCAGATTTTGAGCCCAGCTAATGAAGGTGGTAAGGCCACCAAGTAGGGGAGCTGATTGGTACAAAAGATTGAATGTCAGAAGGAGAGGCCAGGGGTCTCTCTAGCTGCCATGGAGGTGCACCCACAGCCAGTGGGTGTGGGGATGTGATTCAGACCCAAACAGGTTTTCACTCCAAAGCTTGGGTCTGCCTCAGCCTCCAGCCTCAGTACCATGGCCACAGATCGTTCTTTGACGCACAGCCGTTAACAGCATCTGCATGCTTGTAGCTAAGCTGGGGACACTATAATTGGGAGGCGCAGGAGAGAACTTTCACTTATCTAGATTTAAAGATCGTTTTTAGTAACTTATTTTTCCCTCTTCACCTTCCCTGAAAAAATACTCATGTAGCAAGGTAAGTTATCAAGAAGAAAGACCTAATTTGAAAGGTTACTGGTGTGGATGTAGCAAATGCGGGAAGGGAAGGGAGCAGCGGACGTCCCTCTGCAGCTCAGTAGTGCTGAGAGACGTGCATGGGCTGCCTAAAGATGCTGTAACGTGAATGTGTGTTTTTGTTTTTGTTTTCTTTGCTTACTTGCCATTAACTGGGGAAACTATTCTTGTGCTTTACTGAAAAAAGCAAAAAACAAAAAAGCCACAGTCACATCATCACTGTAGTTGTTTTTGTTGTCTTCTTTCTTTAAGAAAAGCAAGTCTCTTTCTTTTATCAAAAAGGGAACTCCTTTACTGAGATTTCAACAAGCCAGAATACCTGAAGCACCTAAAAATAAGGCAAGACTACACATGTTCAATCTTGTATTTCTTTATCCTTTCGCTCAGTCATTCAAGTTTTTCTTAGTTTCCTTTTTCAAGATTCCCAAATACTAAAATTCAGCCAAATTTGATTTACAATTTAGAAAAATCATGCTCAAAACCGAGTGGGATTTATCCCAGGAATGCAAAGTTGGTTCAATATCTGATAAGTAATCTGATACATCACATTACTAAAGCACCAAAAAACTCCATGTGATTATCTTACTAGAGGCAGAAAAAGCATTTGACAAAGTTCAAAGACTCCTTTATAATGAAAGCACTCAACAAATTAGGAATGAAATGGAACTTTCTCAGCCTGTTGCAGGACATACACAGACTGCTCACAGCTGAAGTCGTAGTTAAATGTGGAGAGTCAGACGCTTTCCCTCTGAGATCAGCAACGAAGTGAGGATGCTCTCGCCACTTCCACCTGATACTGTGCTGGAAGTTCCAGCTATTACAGTTAGGGCAGTTAGGCAGGAAAAATAAAAGATAACCAGACTGAAAAGGAAGAAGTAAAACTGTGTATTTGCAGATGACATGACCTTGCTGTCTTAGTGCATTTAGGATGCTGTGGCATAATGCCACAGACTGGGTAGCTTATGAACAATACAGATTTATTACTCGCAGGTCTCGAGGCTGGGAACTCCAAGATCCTGGTGCCAACATGGTCACCTTCTGGTGAACGCCCTCTTCCTGGTTCATAGCTGGCACCTTCCCACTGTGTCCTCACTGGGTGGAGGAGGCATGGGATCTGTCTGGAGCCTCTTTTATAAGGGCACAGGTCCCACTCATGAGGGCTCCGTCATCATGGTCTGAGCACCCCCCAAAGGCCCCACCTCCCAATGTCATCACTTTGGGGGTTAAGATTTCAACATATGAATTTAGGGCTCACACATTCAGATCATAGCACTTGTATACAGAAAATCCTGAGACATCCACACACACCTGGGGATAAAACTCCTAGAGCCAATAAATGAGTTCAGCAAGGCTGCAGGATGCTGGGTCACGATACAAAGTTCAACTGTATTTCTGTACACTAGCAATTAAAATCCAAAAGTGAAATGAAAGCAGTCCCACTTTCAGCACATAAAAAGGAATAAAATAGGTGTAAATTTAACGAGAGAAATGCAGCACTTAATACACTGAAAATTTCAAAACATCATTGAAGGAAATTAAAGAACTGTAAGGGGGGAGGGTACAGCTCAGTGGTAGAGCATGTGCTTAGCCTGCACAGGGTCCGGAGTTCAATCCCCGGTACCTCCGCCAAAAATAAAAATAAAAATAAAGAAAAGATGTAGTAAAATGGAAAGACATCCCCTGTTCCTGGGGGAGAAGACTGAGTATTGATCTGTACACTCAATTATAAGCCCTGCCAAGATCTTAACTTCCTTTTTTTGAAAGTTAACAAGCTGATCCTAGAATTCATAGATGTACTAAGAGGATCCAGAATAGTTACAACAACCTTAAAAAGGAATAACAAAGTTGGAGGGCTTGCACTTCTCAATTTCAAAACTTACCTCAAAGCTGCAGTAACCAAGACAGTGTGGTACCGGCTTAAGGACAGACATACAGACCAGTGGAATAGCATTGGCAGTCCAGAAAGCAGTCAGCTGTCCTGCACTAAGGCTGCCGGGACGATTCAGTGGGAGAAAGAATAATCTTTTCAATACATGGTTCTGGGACAGCTGGGTGCACACATGCGGTGGAATGAACTGGGCCCTGATCTAATACCACATACAAAAACTAACTTCAGATGGACCAAACACCTAGCTGTAAGCGCTAACACTGAACAGCTCTTAGAGGAAATCTCATGACCTTGAATCAGCTATTTCTTATGACCTTGATTTAGATAGTGGTTTCTTAGGTATGACATCAAAAGGATAGCAACAAAAGAAGAAAGAGATAAATTGGACTTCATCAAAATACAGTACTTCCAAATATATATACATATACAGTCCTTCCAAGAGCACTCTAAAGAAAGGAAAGGCAACCTGTAGAATGGGGGAAAGTATTTGCAGGTCCAGTATCTGGTTAGGGTGTGCTATCCAGCACATATAAAGAACTCTTACAATTCAACAATAAAAAGACAACTCAATTTTTAAAAAAAATAATAAAGATACACATTTTAACACAGAAATAAGAGTGTATCTGCAGGGCCCGCCCACCTCTGCTTCCCCACCGATGGACGTTCCTCTCAGGGTTCTCTCTGTCCAGAACTTTAAGAGGCAAGGCGTTGACTTGTTTTGGTAAATTTTCCTTTGTAGCTACCTGTTCTGAAAAACAATTCTTGTTCCTTAATTTAAAGCCCCAGAAAAAGCCTCTGTTCCGCTTCCCTCATGGTTGGCGTCTGTCTGGCCAGGAGTGCTGGACCTGAACTTGCTTGCTTAGCTCACCTGGCTTCTCTGCTCGTGCAGGACTAGAAGCCCTGCTTCTCTTTTCTGTGGAAATAAATTTCTACTAAATAAAATTTTCCTAAGATCCTGAAAAGATCTCTGTTTGAAGTAAATCATTAAATAGTCTTAAAAGAATTAACCTGCTATTTTAAGTAGCTTCAGGAAATTGAGACCTTTGGAGGGGAATAATCCTATGGAAAATACTCAGAGCTATGACTTTAAAACATGTCTTTTTGAGACAAGTGTTGAAATTGAATGGCTTTGTCTTCTGTGGAAATTTATCTTGTTTTCTGTTTTATCCTGTGCCTGGAACAATGCATGTCTGTTGAGTAAATGAATGAACAGATCCTTTTCTGAAGTGGTGGAATGAATGGACCCACCTTATCGTTTGGCGGCCGTGCCCCAGAGAAGGCCGCTGTTTGCTGGGGGTGTCTCGGACCCTTTCGTAGCCTCTCAGGCCTCTTCCATCAGATTGTTGTGAGGCTGAATGACAGTGAGTGCCTCACGTGTGTTGGACACCTTAAATGACAGCTAGTAATCATTATTAATTATAGAAATCTTAGTGGGTTTAGGGGAAAATGTGAGTTTTCTTGTGTGTTTCTGTCAGTAGTTCAGTGTCTTTGATGAAATAGCTGCTTTGATTTATAGAAACCACAAAATTTTGCTGTGGTTACACGGCTGCACCACAGCCAGAAATCAGTCTAGAATGCACGTCTCATTTCTAATGACAAGTTAGATGTACAATCGAATATGATCTGTGTATTTTTTCCAATAAATCTGGACCACAGTTCTGCTGTGTGTTTTCCCAGACCCCTCTGGATGAGGGTTAAGCAGTTGGGAGCCAGGCGCGTGGGGACGTGTTAGTGAGGACGTAGGGCAGTGGAGCCTTCTTGGAGGGTGGTTTTGTGACACACGTCACAATCTAAAATGCATGAATCCTTTGAGCCAGTAGTTCTGCTTCTCCGAATCTGTCCTGCAAAACACAGTTGTGCAAAGTTGTTCATAGCAGGAGTGTTTGCAGTGGAGAAAACCGGCAACGAGAACGTTTAAGAGACAGAAAGCTGTGATCTGGAAAGGCACACATCATTAACGGCTCTGCAGGTGTCGGCACAGACACGCAAAACTGTACATTTATCCCATTTCCACGAGGAAAAACGTGTGTATTTCTGACTGTGTATGTTTACATTTTAAATTATGGTTTAAAAAAAGTAACATTGAGCATTTTAACCATTTCTAAGTTTGCAGTTCAGTAGAGGTAAGTACATTCACACTGATGTGCAGCCACCACCACCGTCCGTCTCCTGAACCTTCTTCATCTTGTGACACTAACTCTGTCCCCTTTAAACACTAACTCCCCACTTCCCCGCCCCCAGCCCTGACAACCACCATCTGCTTTCTGTCTCTGTGAGTCTGACTAGTCTAGGGACCTCATATGAGTGGAATCATACAATACTTATCTTTTTGTGACTGGTGTATGTCACTGAGCATAATGTCCTCAGGGTTCATTCCTATTGTAGCAGGTGTCAGAATTTCCTTCTTTTTTAAGGCTGAGTCATAATCTGTTGTCTGGATAGACCACATTTTGTTTATCCACCCGTCCATCAATGGACACTTGGGTTATTTCCATCTTCGGGATGCTGTGAACAATGCTACTGTGAACGTGGGTGTGCAGATGTCTCTCGGGGCCCCTGCTCATGCTCTGTTTGGATGCATAGGAGACAGTCTGGAGAGGAGGACAGCACACTGATCCCGGCAAAACGAGGCTGGGGTGGAGGGTGAAGGTGGCACCATGACTTGCTATTTCATACACTTTATATTGTGGTTTTTTCACAATAAGCGCTAGATTGTGTTTTACAGTTGGTAAATTAGGAACGCACTAATTGTTACGCTTTTGCTTTGTGCTCTCTTAAGAGCTGGGCAGACCCTCTACCAGAGATCCCTCCACACATTGTGCAGGAATGCAGACTGAGGCTGACAGAGAATCCTTCCAAGGACGTCTTTGAGGAGTGTGCCCGGTGAGTGACTGCGCCCAGCCCCGCCTCCACTGGGCGCGTTCTTCTGGCGGGCTCTCCAGTTCCCACGGCCACTTCCCAGAAAGGGGCAACTGAAGAGCTACAGGCACGTGCGCTTACTGACACGCCCACCCGGCCGTGCTGCTCAGCCTTCCCAGGTGCTTGTTCTTGGATGAGAAGCCTCCCCGAAAAGGTTTCTTGTCGACCTAGGTGCTCACTGAAAGCAGCTCTTCTACAGGTCTTTGCAGTATGGACAGAAAGTTCTGAGTCTGAGCACTGCAGCTGAACTTGGCTTCTAGGTGCCGTGTGATGTGATGTTCCCAGGTTCCAGGGGTTGAGACCTGGGTGTCTTTGGGTCACTGTTCAGCCCACCACTGTGCTGAGTCATTTGCCAGGGAGTGGACGTCCCAGGTGCTGTGGGGACACGCAATAGCACCTTGCCAGGGAAAGTTTGTCTTTGCTCCAAGAGCAGATAGGGTGATGCACTTACTGTGTTTCTAGAAGGCAGTTCTGGCGGCAGTTTAGAGGACAGTTAGAGACAGGGACAGTTGGGTCCAGGACACCAGCTTAGAGGCTGGGGCAGGTGTTCTGGTGAAATGTGATGGTGCCTGGACCAGGGCAGTGACAGGGATCATGGAGAGGGGTGAATGGGTTTTAGAGAACTTGAGAGGCTGGTGAGCAAGGGGAAACTGTGGTCTGGGACACGATGAGTTCGTGTCCCACCTCCTAACGCCATTTCCTGGGCAGGGTAGGTTTCAACGTAAGACTTGAGGGGACACACACAGTCAGGCCATAACACACATCATCATCATCAATATTTTTTTCAAAAACCGAGGACAAACGTGCCAGGGAATATGAACGTCTCTAGCCTTAAACTGGGGAGAAAGTGCACGTCGTGGGTTAGCGAGCCGGAGCCCAGCAGCTCCCGGGCCGCGTGGAGATGCGCAGCTCGTCAGCCGCCCAGCCGGTGGCGCCGGCAGGTCTGTGCTGCTCATTGTCACTGCGGTGTAGTTTACCTCGTCGCTCAGGGTTCAGGGTTTTAGCAGTTGATGTCGTGTAACTTACCTAATAATTGCTTCCCCCCCATGATTTCTCTTTTTACATCTAAGAGCGTCTTTCAGCTTTCTACAGTTACCGTATGTTCCCCTCCCAGGCCTACGATTCTTCATCGATGGATTTGTTCACTAAATTTGCATTTTCAACCGTCTGATTAAGCAAACATACTCAGATTCTGTTCTGACGTTGAAAAACATGGGTTTTGTACGTGATGTATGAGGTGGATCAGAAATTCTGCCATCTCTGTGCATAAATTTCAAGATACAGACTTAAAAGTCGCTAATCTTTAGATGAGTTTTGGCACTCAGGCCTCTGTCTGTCTTGATTAGTCCATCCAGCTGATGACCCCTCACCCCTAGATGTTTGTCAGCTGTCCTTGCCGTCAGCTGTCCTTGCCATCAGCTGTGCAGGACATCGGCTCTTTGGCAGCTTCAGCATAATATTGTGTGGAATCTAGGAGTTTCAGTGTTTTCTGTTATTCTGTCTCATTTCTAAGTTGTTACAACGTTTATTTCCCCCCAAAGCTTCTCTCCTCATTTTTCGTCCCAGATGTGCATAATGATGCGCATAATGAACGTAAACGATTCCTTTATGCTGCCTGGTGGTGGGCGTCAGGGTGAATATATTAAACACCAGCGCTGAACTGGAGCAGTTTTAAATGTCAATTTAAAAAAAACCTGTGTGCAGTAGGTTTATATGCCAGACTAGGGAAGGGGGGCAGAGCCTGTTGTTTCTGAGGTGAGGAGTCTTGGGATGTGATATTGAGATACACTGGTAAGTTGACTACAGTCGTTGACTGTATTCATTTGCATAGACTGCCGAATAACGCAGGTGTATTAGAATAAATCGGTGTTTGTGTTGTTCTTTCATGGACATGCTTAACTACCTTTGTAAAGATGGTTTAACTGAACTGAGAGGATCAGAATTCTTAAACTGGTTCCTACAGGTTTGGAGTTGAGCTGCCCACAGGCTCCAGGGGAGAGGCGCCCGGAGGCCGGGGCCAGGCACCTCCTCACCCCCGAGGTAACTGAGGGCTTGGCCTCCGGGACGGTGTCTGTTCCAGGACTGGCGGAGTAGCGGCTTCAGAGCTTTTCACCTCCGGACCCTGTTGCACTCTTAGAAATTACTGAGGACCCAAAGAGCTTTTGTTTATGTGGGGGTGATTTTAAACACTAAGACAGCACACATGCTCCACTGTCTGTCACAGCAATGATGTTGTCACAGGCCTGTGGCCTCTGGAGACCCCTCTGTGAGAGTGAGGTTTTGTACAGGTAATTAACGTCTCAGCATCTAATGTAGTTTCATTCCTGAAGACTCCCTGATGGAACACTTCCTTGGGGATCCTTGGAACACACTTTGAGAATCACTGCTCTGTAACATTAGTCTGGGAACATCTGAAAAACCTCTTTTTACAAAATAAAGAGAAACAAACCAAATGACTTGCTCAGAATTCTAAAAGCAATGGAAATGCTGGGATTATTCCCAAAGCCTCCTCAGTTACGACCTACTTACTAGCAGCTCCCCTTAAACCGAGACCGTTCCCTTGCGGACCCTGCCCGCGCCAGGGAGACGGCTTCCTTCTCTCCTCATCGGGGCCGCTTCTGCTTCCACGCCGCCGCCTCCCTGACCCTGCAGGCCCGGCCCTGTGTCCACAGACCGGGCGCAGCTGCGGGAGCCCTGGGGGCCTGTCTCATAAGTGCACGACCCCTCCCTCCTCCCCCACCGCGCCGGCGCATCTTCATGACGGACCTCATCCGGCGATTCCTCCCGTGTCAAGCCCCGAGCTTGCCGTCTACTCCGGAAACGCCTGTCGGCCTGAGAGCCGCTGTAAACCACAGGCTACCTTCTGCCCCTCACTACTATATGAGTAGAAATCGTTATTACTTCCTAATAAAACCATGAATAGAACCTAAGAGGCGTGGCTAATTACATACAATTTCTTCAAAAAATGTTTAATATAAAATAATTAATTGAGTGTTTTTTTCAGGTTTAAAAGGTGGAATCACATACCAACAGTTCCTACCGTATGATTATTATCATTCAGACATTACTCTAATCTCAATTACAAAGAGTTTATATTCCCTCCTGAAGTACACATGCCCTCACGTGTGGGTGCACTTGCGCTGTGCACGCGCACACACACACACACCCCCCTCTTAAAAAATTTTAAATGATTGTCTTTCTACTGGTAGATTGTTTTTATCAGGTAATTATTTCTCTGATAATTCATATACATAAAAAGAAATTCTGACTTTGCCATGGTAAATTGATTCATTTCTTTTGAATTCTTGCCTTCATGTCCTCACTGGTAGCATTAGAAACTAGTGTGGAATTCTATAATTGCAAAATTCGGTATATTGAGTTGTGTACAGTGATTCACTTTCCCATATCAATTGCCCATTAATGCACGAAAACACGGTTGTTTTCAAATGTAATGCAATAAATGTATATAATTGCATGAAATCTTTTTCTAGAGTCGTCCATAACTATTTAAGTGGAAAACCATTTGAAGAGTACCAAGAAAGCTCATATTTTTCTCGATTTTTACAGTGGAAATGGCTGGAAAGGTATGTTCTGATTTAAAATCGGGGGGAAACAGGCTGTAGCTTCTCTTGGCTGCACGCTGTTGGATGTGTACTTATCCACCTGTCCAAATGCTATTGGAAATCTTGGGTTGTATATGGTATTTGTGTTCAAAAGTTATTAATATTCATTATATAATTTCTTCCAATTCAGTGGACTGTGTTTTCTCTTTTTAAAATGGCAGTTAGCCGTGCTGGCGCAGCAGTTAGAAAAGAAAGCATGTCCTAGACTCACAGGAATGTAACCGCCCCCGTGGCTCGGTCTGCGGCGTCGGCCTCGGCCGGCCCTGGGCCGGCTGTGCGTCCTCCCGCGGTGACCTGGCCTGTGAGCTTCAGGCCCTTGTTCTGCAGAGGCTGCTGGCGTCCCCAGGGGGACGGGTGTGAAACGCTGGGCACCGTGCTTGGGCACAAAATAAGTGGTCAGAAGGTGTTACTGCTGCTAGTGTTGATGATGATGATGATTGCAATTATTATTGACTATGAAATGTGCCGTTCTAGTCCATACAGGCTTCTTTTGAGGCTCTGGTATGAGCAGCACTTTGAGGCCCTTTCCTGAAAGGGCAGTGTAGACGTTTTCCCCAGCAGCTTTCTGACAGGCCCGAATGCGTGCGTGTTTCACAGCGCGGGCTGGCTGCAGGTTTGTGTTTAGTTAGTAAGGATAGCTGACCATTCTGCATCTCCCTTCAGTGTTTTCAGTCAGTGTTGCACGTCAGTGTGCTTGTCTCCTAAGAGCTGCCCCGCCGAGGCAGCCGCAGTCCCTGAGCACAGGCACCCTGGGCTGGGTGCCCTCTTGGGGCAGTGAGGTTCCCAGGGGAGGTTAGGACAGGAGCTCAGCAGGCTTTTCTCTTTGAAAATAACAACGTGATGTGAGACCTGAAACTTTACTTTTTTTTCATTAATTAGGCAACCAGTAACAAAGAACACATTTAGATATTACAGAGTTCTAGGAAAAGGCGGATTTGGAGAGGTAAGTGACACGTGACCGGTCAGGAGCTGTCCTTCCAGAAAAGCAGACAGCAGGGTGATTGAAAGCCGTCCGCTTTACCAATACGTTTAATTCCTTACTGTGCATTTGGGGAATAATTTTAGCAACCATGAGAATTAAGATTGAACTTTGAGCAAAAGGTGCAAGCTTTTAAAAAATTCAGAGATCTGGAAAAAAATTCACTTCATATTTCTTAAAGAACTTGTTTACTCATGTTCCATGTTGAGGCTCAGTAAGTTTGTCCTGATTGAAGATATTATTCTGTTTGCATATGGTGGAATTTCTGTTACTCCATTTCCATGGTTTAGGACTAGCCTAAAAGTTCATGTAGAATGGAGTATATTATTAAATATGCTTATGTAAGTTGGCTCTGTTTGGACATTATGTACCTTACACCTACACTGAAAGCTGTTAGAAATGTGGAAATCTGGGAAAATCCTAAAGAAACTGCCCAAAATCCATGAGACATGGTCTTTGAATAGGATGGCTCTCCTCGTGGAGACCACTGCAGTAGGCAGGCAGAGACTCCCATGCAGTTCTGTTCGGGGGATTTAAAAAGATTTTAATTGTCTCATTAGTCATCTGGAGTGATCGTCTTCAGTTCAACTATCTCTAAGTCCCCAGAGCCAGGCGAGCCGGAGAGGAATTGACACCGAGTGTCTAAGTCAGAAGCAGGTCACACGGCCCACATGTGGCTTAAAGCAGGTGTGCTCCCAAGTCCAAATGAAGGCCAAAGCCAGAGCCACCAGAGTCCTCTTACCACGAGTGAGAGAGCGGGCCCAGCAGTGGCCCCTCCAGGGAGGCCTGTCACCCGTGGGCAGCGACATGGGAACAGGCTGGCTTGAGAGCCACGGCTGTGGGGGAACTGGTCGCATTGGACCTCCTGTACGGCTCTGGAGACCTTGTAGAGTACTTTGCAGAATCCAGCCAAGGGCTTGCTGTGATCCCTCATAGCAGACACTTCTGTGGGAGAGCCCCTCTGTCAGGTGCACCCGGGACAGGCAGGAACGCCACCTGCCCCCCTTGGTCCCCCGCCTTGCCTCTCACCACCTCTCACCACAAAACTCAGACCTTGTGCGAGAGCAGAGGAAGGCGTCTCAAGCACATGGGGCTCGTGTCTACAAAAGCACAAGGTTCTGGTTATAGCCACATACAAGTTTCAGAGTGACTCTGTAGGAACACGGGAGCAAATTTCAGCTGCTGTGGAAAGACTTGGTTTGGTGTATATACGATTTTATCGATTACTTTTTAGCACATTTGTTTGTTTTTCCAAACAAATCGTCGTGTGGACGAATAAACCATTGCGGCCCTCACAGACTGGTCTGGATGCACTGCGCCCGCATCAAGGCCCGCGCGGGAACGGACAGTCCATCTCCGTCCCACATGCCTCTTAGACCCCTACGAGCCTAGCGCGACAGCCTCGGTGCCCTTCATTCTACGTCCCAGTAGTGCATTTACTTTTCCAGATGTCAGCAGCTCTGCTGGGGGGTTTGAAAAGGCAAACGTTCTGCCCTCGTCTTGTCGACAACAGCGCTTTCACTTAGGCCTTGGGTCCCCTCGGGGCAGATCTGTAGGGTCCTGAGGCGGGCGCACCAAGCGGGGTGGGGTGGCATCTTGTGTGCGTGGCATTGGAGACTGCGTAGTGAGTGAAGGAGCACGTCCTCACGAGCTGGGCAGCCTGAGGCCAGGCTCCCATCCCTTCACTCCCAGCTGGGACGTGGGGTTCACCATATGGCCTCAGCCTTAGGAGGGGTCCTGACCCTGCTTCACTGGTTGCTGTGGGGAGCCCTGAGGATTTGGGTCCAGTGGTGGTGCAGGGCCTGACACCCTTACCTCTTCTCCCACCTTTCTCTGATTTGGCAGTTCCACAAGAAGGAATTCATCTTAGGTTAATGATAAAGAGGTACACAAAGACTTACATGCCAAGACCTAGTGGAGGGAAAATGATGACATACATTTTGGAACAGTCACATGTTGGGAGAATATTTAATGGTGAGAAAATAGTCACACTATAAGATGAAAAAAAGGAGGTTATAAAATATTGTGTGTTCTATCATATAAGCCTGATTTTCCCTAAAAGTCAGAGGTTGGGGGAGCGGGTATATATTCTTGCATATACACGTACAAAGAGAGACTTAGAAGCTTATACAGCAGAATGTTAGTGATGGTTGTCTTGGAATTTCAAATGTTTTATCATTATCCTTATTAACACTGTCAGTATTTTCCACAATGAACTTTATGTTTTACCATTGAAATTATTTTATTGATGGGTAAAATTATGTCATGTCTTATATTTGCTTTTAAAGTAATCCTGTGTACATGTGTGCACGTACATGGGTGGGTTTGTCTGATGGGTGCGTCTGTGGCGTGGAGTGGGTGTGTGGCACGTGGGGGAGTTGCATGTGCGTGGTGTGTGTGTGTCTGTGGGTGGAAGTCAGGTGGAACGAGGCACCATGCGTTGATGGCCTGGAATCCGGAAGACTGGTACCTGTTTCTCGTACTATTCTCTCCACTTTTGTTTGTTTGAAATTCTTCATAATATGAAGTTAAGTAGCATATAAATATTAAGAACTAGTTAAGTAGGATAAAGGTATGAAAGTCTATGGACTTCTATGAAATACATTTTCTTATCCGTATTCTTGAACTTTAAAAAATTAAGAATCTGTTTAGTTTGAAAAACTTCCGTTCGTACACAGAAATAAAAGACATAGGGAGACATTTAAGTTAAACCGATGCCCCATGTTCACACATGAACGACAGGTTCCATTTGTCACCGTCCTTGAGCTTACGAGGCCCTTGGCGGTCTCAGCCCCCTCGTGGAGCCCCCAGGACAGCTGTGCCTGTACCTGGAGTGGTCTGGTTCAGCAGAAGCCGTTGCTGCTCTTCACCAGAGGGGTTGTCATGGGGAAAACCATTTTCTTTTTGTAGCCTAAGAACTGTCGGGTAGATAGAAAGCCTTTTTTTTTCTTTCTCATTTTTTAATCTAGGTTTGTGCCTGTCAGGTGCGAGCTACAGGAAAAATGTATGCCTGTAAAAAGCTAGAAAAGAAAAGAATAAAGAGGAGGAAAGGGGAAGCTATGGCTCTAAATGAAAAAAGAATCCTAGAGAAGGTTCACAGTCGATTTGTAGTAAGTATCTTCCTTCCGTTCTTGCTGTGCTTTGCTGGATAAGTCGCATTTTTTCAGCAGGCCTGCCGCTAAGCTTGCCTCGTCTATCACTGCAGCTTGGGGTGTGTCTAGTTCACGTATGTAGGGCTCTGCTGTCTGGGGCTGTTCACCAGGAGGGGTGCGGGTCAGCTCTCACTGGACGCGGACAGGAAACAGTGGTGATGCTGAACTGGATGTGCTGTAAATGTGTTGCCGCCTCCGCCCCTCATCAGGCCATTACTCCTCACCCCGCGAGCGAGGCACTGCCTGGCCAGGCGCCCACCCTCTCTGGTGGCAGCTGAGCTTGCCCTGCAGTTTGCCGTCAGCCTCCAGCTGAGTGACAGGCTTGAAGACACTGCTCTGGCCCATCACCTCACCTGGGCCTCGGTCTGTTTCCATCTCTATCCTCTCTCTGACATCTGGCAGCTTTAGTGCCCATTCCTCAGTTAGCACAGCCCAGTGTGTGAAGCCCCAGATTCCACCTTGACCAGTTCAGGTAAGGATTGAACATCTCGGATGTGGCTCCAGGCCGTACATTTATTAATGTGGTTTCTACCCACCTAGTTACATGTTTCCTATAACCTCTACTGCAGTGTGAGGTCTGATTGAAGGGAGACAGTGAAAGACAGGTCATAAAATGACTTGTAGTGTCATTTATTTCTTAGTACTGAGGTCAGCTGCTTTGTGCTGGGGGACAGATGTTCTAGAACAGAGGCTGTCTCAGCCATCATCTGAATTTAATGGCAGAAGTTTATGTGTAGATTTGTCAGTCTGACATGCACTACATGAAAATCTTCAAGAAAATAGGCTCATTCTGGCGCTGCTTTAAACATACTCGTGTAGCTACCTTGAAACATTGAATTCTGTAACCTAGCTTTATGAAAGGGACATAAATAGTTATAGTTTATTTTACTTAAATAGAATATTCTTGGTTTCTATACTCTTGGCCTCTAGAAATACTTTCCTCTGTCCGTAATTCTGTTTCTTCCCTTCCTGCTCATGGTTGATCACCAGGTCCTGAGCAGTACTGATGTCGAGTTCATCTCCTCCTCCTCCCCCCAGCCCCACCCACAGCATAACTGTGTATGCAGACAGTCCAAGACTTTCTAGATAACTAATTGAAAATTGGCCAAGTTATTAGATGTGACACCAATTAGATATGAAACAATTAGAAAATTAAAATTTTAAATTGATACTATTTACAATAGCATCAAGAAACATCAAAATCCAGGCAAAAATCAAGTAAAATATGCAAGACTTACACACCGGGAACTATAAAATACTGTCACAGGAAACTAAAGAAGACCTGAATGAACGGTGGAGTACCATGTTCATGGATAGGAAGACTCAGTGCTGTGAAAATGTAGGTTCTTCCCAAATTGACGTATAGGTTAAATGAATTAAATGCAGTCCCAGTCAAAATCCCAGAAGGGCGTGTGTGTGTAAATTGACATACAAACCAATAGAAAAGTCGGCAAAAATCTTTGAACAGGCGCTTCATAACAGGTGTTCCTAAATGCATGAAAACATTTGAGAAGTATCCCCTATATTTACATATGCAGAGAAATGCAAGTTAAAGCCACAGTAAGAGACCACTTTGCCTCCACCAGCACTGACTGACAACACAAGACCTCCCTTGCATTGCTGGGGGGGTCTTTAACTTGTATGCTGAATGCAGGCGTTCTGGAAGTGTGGGCTATCTGTGCTCAGTGATTATCATAGCTTTGAGGAATCCTGATCCCAGGTGTCTTTGTAAGGTTTTGCCACCTACCCACTTAAGGTAAGTTCTCTGCTTTCAGTACGGAACAGCTGTAAGGTCTTCCGTGGGTAAAGGTGTGCGCCTCCCTGAAGCATGTGGTATAAATCTAACATGGATTATTTGACTCTTGTTAGCAAGTAGAGTAAATCCCCAGTGAATGAGCAGATGTCTGTGTTTTGTTTTTATGATGCTGTCATCTCCAGGTTAGTTTAGCCTACACTTACGAGACCAAAGATTCCTTGTGTTTGGTGCTAACCATTATGAACGGAGGGGACTTGAAGTTTCACATTTACAACTTGGGCAAGCCCGGCTTTGATGAGCAGAGAGCTGTGTTCTATGCTGCAGAGGTGTGCTGTGGCTTGGAAGATTTACAGAAGGAAAGAATCGTGTACAGGTAAGCGACGTGTGGACTTCTTGGGCACAAAGCCTTCCGTCCTGAGCCTTGCTGGCCGTTAGGGGTCTGAGTGGGGGGCAGCAGTGCCAGGGCTGGCCTCTCACTCTGTTGGAAATACGGCCAGTCACACGTGGGCCTTGGTTTTCTTTTCACTTCTGTTCTGTCTCTAGTGAGGAGTCTTTATTTGTTAAGCTGATCAGATACAGCCGTGCTGCTCGTGTGAGCCTGAGAAGAACCCATTTCCGAGAGTCTTAGCCATTCCAGCAGTCCTGCTGAGGCTGCGGCCCGTGTCCCAAAACGACAGTGTCTCAAAACAATGACACTGACTTTGATGCTTTTTCATCCTAGAATTCAGTAAGGAAAATTAAACATAATGGTTGGGATCAGTTTCGTGTGATCGAGAGACTGAGTTTTAGGGAATGCAGCACTTCCCCCCGCCCCAAGACACTCTTCTCCATCTCCCCAAGCAGCTCCGTCCAGGCACCTCTGCGTCCATCTGCCGACCTGCCGACTCTGCAGGCCACTCCCTGGTGTGCGCGTCCAGCCTTGCCCTTTTCCTCAACCCCCAAGTGCCTGTCTATCCCTTGCCCTCTTCCTCCTCATATAGTCCAGACCCTCCTGGATCTGGTCACCGAATCGCTCCTGAGTGTTTTTCAAGTGACTCTATTGTGACAGGACCTCACCTGAACCAGGGTTAAATATAAATCCTTTGAAAACTAGTGTTTTTCTCTGAGGGAAAAAGCAAGTGGCTAGAGTCACTACATGTACGGCGTTTTCCTCTTCGGTGATGTACGTTTGTTTCAAGTTGGTGGCATCTGTCCTCCTTCACGGTGAGCTGTGCTTAACACTCCCTGCTGCTGACTGCACGCTTCCTGCTGCCAGCCCGGGCGTCACCTGACGCTGCACAGCCTGGAGAGCGGGGCAGGTGGTGATCACACTGGGTCACAGTGTGGACGCTGAGGCTTGGAGGCGTTACGGTCACACAGCAGATCAGTGGCAGAGCCAGGGTTTGAGTCTATGTCTGTCTGACCCCCAAACCGAATTCTTCTAGGATGGGAAATTTTCTCAGTTGCGGACATTTAAAAAGTGTATTACTGATGAGGGAGCTGGAGCCGAGTCAGTTAAGGACTGATTCCTCACTGCCGGCTGCACACCTGCTCGCCGAAGTGTCCTCTGTTGAGCTGCGTCCCTGCGCAGAGAGTGAGTGCCCTTGCTGCGCGTGTCCCAGAAGAGCCTTCTCCTTCCACGTGGCCACGGAAGCCTTGCGAGGACACGCGGGGCTGGTGACTTGCTCCACAGAGAGTGGTTTGTTACACACCGCTCTTGCTGTTGCTTGTGTCACAGGGGTGTCTGTGGGTCCTTCTGGGCTGCCAATGAACCCCAGCATCGAATTCCGAATAACTGACCTCTTCCTGTTGTTTCTTCCTTTGCAGAGACTTAAAGCCCGAGAACATCCTCCTGGATGACCGTGGTGAGTGAGCGGCTTTCACATCCGAAGTGTACACTTTGTTCAGAGGGACTTGGGGACAGAAAGTTAACGTGGACTTAGCCATTTAGTGCTGAGTAGACACAACGGAGACAGAGTGACTCTCTGTGTTGGGTCCTTTAAAAGATAAAACAGAGATATCATTGTCATTCCCCTGTATTTCGCCAAGAAGCAGAGATGGTTATAGTTTTTGGTGTTGGAGTTTTAGAAGCTTATTAAACTCTAGGTGAGAGTATTCTCCTCTCTCCACCTCTTGCTGTTCCCCCTCGTCTTGCTTTATTCCTGAGTTGTGCGTCCCCGCGCCCTCCTAAGCCCGGCTGCCCCGTGCTGTCGTCTCTTCACAGAGCGGGTGTCAGGGCAGCAGCGCGGTGGCTGTGGGGCCTCGTCCACCGGCAGCGGGGACCCTGGGGCAGTGGCGGGGAGTGGCCCTTCAGGACAGGCTCTCCACCTCGGTTCTCGGGTGACAGCTGCCCTGAGAGCGGGGGGCTGCAGCGGCCGGGGCGGTGTTGGGAGCTGCTCTCTTTGGGGGGCTGTGTCCGTCTGAGAAGTCATCCGTCACAGCCAAGAGTGGGAGGCAGGGCTGGAGCATGGAGGGCAGAGGACCCTGAAAGCCAACCTGGGGCACATTTAATGCAGAGACCCCTCCGTGCTTCCCGTCTGTCACCCACCTCGTGCTCAGAGCAGCTGCCCGGGGCCGGAGGGCGGTGTCTCCTCCATGGGAGCAGAGCATGGCCCGGGCTGCGAGCGTGGCTTTGTTTCTGCTTCATGCTGCGCTGTGACCAGTGGGGACGGAGCCTCTTAGAGAGGGGAGGGCGTGCCCCACGCAGAAGTGAGGGCGTCACCAGGATATGTTGTTAATCAGAGAAAAGTCACGCAGGATGTACCATTCGGGTAGAAAGAGGGACGAGTCACGTGTGTTTGTGTTTGCTTATAAATACAGCAGGACACGTCCAGGAAGAGTCACGTGAAAACGGTCCCTCTGTGTGTACTTAGTGTGCGCTTCAGCTTCTCACAGAGGAGAACAGCCCCAGCGCGCTAGCATTTTGACTGAGGCCATGTTGAAGCTGCAGAAAACGTGCGGAGTATTGCCGTCTCGGCACTGGGTCAGGGGCGCGGTACTCGGTTCTGGTACGCGGAGCTCCCGTAACCTCTCCCGCCGCTTCTGTGTAGTCCTGTTTGTTGTGGTGCCAGGTGAACATGCTGCCAGTTAACGATCACTTGTAAGTGGGCTCGAGGAAACCCGTGCAGGGATCTGTGGGTCTTCTCTGGTGGCTCCCTCCCCTCCAAAGCTCTGCCCCACACGTTTGAGTGGACTGAGCTGTCCCAGGCTCTGACTTCTGTCTCCTTGACCCGGCAAGGCCACCTGTTCCGCTCAGGTCCCCCTCCTGCGCCGTGGTCTGAGGGTCGCCCGGGTAGGGTGCCGGGAGGGTTGGAGGGCCGGCTTCCGGACTCTCTTCTCTCAGGAGCCATGGTGCTCGGCTGTCTTGGAGTCAGTGTCCAACAGGATTTTTTGACCATATTTTAAATTATTTGCAGTGGAAGAGCAAGTTTGGGATCAGTTAGTCCTTCTTGGTTGGAAATAGATTCCAGTTGTTCTTAACTGTAGTTCATTCCAACTTATGAATTATTTTTCCAGTATGTTTAGTGCTTTTTGTGTTTTACTTAAGAAATCTTACCTATACCACAAAATGTCCTATGTTTTACTCTAAAAATGTTAGTGGTTTATCCTTCCCATTTGCTTCTGAAGTCCCTCTGGAATTGAATTTTGTGTATGATGTGAAGTAGAGGTTACAATACATTTTTTCCCAAATGTATAACCAGTTGACCAGCACCATTCGTTGAAAAGAGCATCTGTTCCCCTCTTCTCTGAAATGTGACCTTTGTGTAGATCTGCTTCTGGACTCTGTGCTGTAACTTCCTTGGCTACTTCGTTTATCCTTGGACCAATGCCATAGTTTGCAGCTTCGCAGCAAGTTCGGGTTCCTGTTAAAGCCCTCCGGCTTTGTTGCTGCTCTTTAAGGTTGCCTTCGCTGTTCCCAGACTTCTTCATTTCCAGATGAACTTTTATAATTGGTAGATTTCCGAGGGGAAGCAGTAATGTGCTGGAATTTCTATTGGGATTGTATTGACTTACAGAATAATTTTCAGAGAATCTTAATATTGAACTTAATATAGATAGCATCTTAATGTTGAGTCTTTGAGTTTATGAGCATGGCATATAGTCCTATACATGTGGGTCTCTTGGTTTCATTCAATATCACTTTGTAGTTTCCTTGTAAAGTTCTTACCCATTTTTGTTATTTGATGTTTTTCAATAGTGTTGTTTTTAAAACTTCATTTTCTATTTACCTGTTGCTGGTGTTTTGAAATACAGCTTGCACCAGGCTTGATGTTTCACGTTAGCGTGTGGCACCTCGTTCTGACTGATGGACTAGTGCTGGTTGGTGTGAAGTCCGCAGTGGTCGTGAGGGTCCACTCTGTGTTTTACGCTCTGTAGGTCTTGACAGGTGCGGACCGATACATGTCCATCATTACTGTGTCGTACAGAGTGGTCTCACCTGCCCTAAACTCCTCTGTGCTCTGCCTGCTCACCCCTCCCTCCCCTGGCCCCCGGCAGCCACTGATATGTTTGCTGTCTTCGTAGTTTTGCCTTTCCAGACTGTCATACAGTTGGAATCATGCAGTATGTAGCCTTGCAGATTGGTTTCTGTCACTTAGTAATATGCATTTAGGTTCCTCCATGTCTTTTTGTGGTTTGTTAGCATTCCATTGTCTGGAGGGACCATGTTTATTTTTTTATCCATTCGCCTCTCAAAGGGCATCTTGGTTGCTTCCAGTTTGCGGTGATTATGAATAAAGCTGCTGTGAACATTTGTGAGCAGGTTATTATGTGCACATGCATTTTCAGTTCATTTTGGTAAAAACCAAGGAGCGCCCTTGCTGGCTCGTATGGCAAGAGTATGTTCAGTTTTGTAAGAAGCCACCCAGCTCCTCCAAAGTGGCCACAGCATCTCGCGTCCCCACCCACAGCGATGAGAGCTCCTGCTGCCCCGCGTCCTCACTGCACCTGGGGCTGGGGTCTGGCTCTTGGCCGTTCTGACAGGTGTGGCATCTTGTTTAATTTGCGTTTCCCTGGTACCTTGATGTGGGCATCTTCTCATAGGCTTGCTTGCCATCTGTGTCTTGTTCAGTGATGGATCTGTTCAGGTCTTCTGCCTACTTTTAATTGGACTGTTTGTTTTCTTATTACTGAGTTTTAAGAGTTCTTTGTGTGTTTTTGATACTAATCCTTTATCCAGTGTAAATGTTTTTAAGTTTAATGAAGTTCATCTTGTCGATTTTTTCTTCTGTGGATTGTGCTTTTGGTTACACTTGCGAGTGACTTCATGTCCAGTGACCACTGCATTCTAGGCATCTGTAGAGTTTTGGGATCCGGTACATGCACCATCATGCCATCGGCAGAGGGCCACGTCACGTCTGCCTTCCGCGTTCTTAAGCTCTTTGCTTCTTTCCTTGCCTCGTGCAGTAGGACTTGCAGTGTGATGTTGACGTCGTAGCAGCAGGAATTCTTTTCTTGCTCCTGACCTCGGGGATAGCCTTGTAACATATCACCATTAAGCATGAAATACGTTGTTGTGTTTTTATAGATACTCTTTTTCAGGTCTAAGCCTTTTCCTTTTTTAAAAAATAATGAAAGGCTGTTGAATTTTGTCAGTGCGTTTTCTATCAGAATGATTATTCTTTTTTCTTCTAATATGGTTAATGTATCAGTTAATTCTCCAGTATTAAACGAATCTTTCATTTCTGAAATAAATCTCGCTCGGGCAGAACATGCTACCCTTTCCCTAGGCTGCACGAATGTCAGGACCACGCTGGTGTCTGTCCCCGCCGCAGTCCCTGGGGGTCCAAATGTCCTGACTCTCGGCGTCCAGCTGCCCCCAGCCCTGGTGGGAGTCCGGGCGTGAGCAGCAGAGAGGTTCCGTGTGTGTCCCCCACTCTCAGTCCACAGCCTCTGGTTTGACCAGGGTTGGCAGATGCTCCTGAGGAAGACACCTGCTGCCCCCGTCAGGGCACCTTTGCGTGAGTCTCCTGCTCAGAAGCCAGTCCACCCGGGCTGGCTGGGCGGCTCACTGAGGTCCGTTAGGCTCTCCGGGAGTGGCCGGCAGCAGCCCAGGCCCACCGCGGCCTTCTCCGCGCCACCCCGTTCCAGGCAAGACGAGGCAGGAGCGACAGAGCTCTGCCTTTCTTGATTTCAGGAGGCTTTTCTCCTTTTCTTTGTGGTCTTCTGCTCTTAGTTGTGAAAAATGTACCCTGAACTGTACTTCAATTTCTCTGACTTGAGAAATGCAATTGATTTTAGAGTACTTACTGTCATGGAATTCAGATGCCTAGGGGCTGATTTGCACCGGCGTGCTGTGGAACCTAAGAGCAATGCGACTGTTGAGTGCCTCTTCACTTCCCACACAGCAGCTTGTTGGGTTTTCTGTTTTCATCTGTAAAGTGGAACTTGACATTTGTGATGGAATTTAGGGTGAAAGAAGCTGCTTATCATCTGTTCTGGATTGTGAGGTACTTTTACCATTTGTCCACCCTAAATATGGAAGCGGTCTTTTTTGCAAACTTACAAATTAAGGGGATTTGGTTTATGAAATTCAGCTGGTGGTTGAGATGACAAAGAAAACTGTATCATGCTTACATTTTCTCTAGAGGCTTTCATATTTTTATGAAGTAGATATATTCCTAAAAAGTGGGGTAAATAGTGAGTTTTTGAAAAAACCAGTAGCATTTTATTATTGACAGTGATTTTAAAGGAAATCCTATGCATTGTACTCTTGTGTCTGTAAAAGTATTTATACGGATAAGGATCCTATTTTTTTTTAACATAAACAAAATCCTATTATTAAAATCCGAAAGATTTAACAATTCCGTAATATCACCGAATATCCCCCTGGCTTTATTTTCCTTAATCATTTCATAAATGTGCTCGTAGTTGTGTCCTGAGTGTCCCGTGACACCCACACTACATTTGGTTGATACCTCGTTGGGTCTTTTTTGCCTTCAGAGGCTCCACCGCGCTACTGCTGCTTGTCAGTTTGTTTGTGAAGCCAGGTATTGTGAGTGGAACTGTGTTCCTCCAAAATCCATGTGGTGAAGCCCTGCCGCTGGCTGCCTCAGAACGTGACTGTGTCTGGAGACAGGGTCTTTAGAGAGGTGACTAAGGTTAAATGAGGTCCTTAGGGTGGGCTGTCATCTGACAGGACTGGCATCCTGGTGAGGACCGGAGGTCAGGGCACTGGCACACACAGGGAAGACAGTGGTTGTACTTTTCATTTCTCAGTTTAAAAAGTCACTTTTTAATAAAAAAAATTAAGACGAGGGGTGCTGACATTTTCGCAACAGGCCAGTGCTCTACTGGGACATGAAATTCATCAAAGTGGCATTGTTGAGGGGTCCTCCCGGTGGAAAGGAAGACGCTGCTGCTGTGGTAAACGGCAGAGCTGGGCCTGGCAGAGCTGGGCTCCGCCCAGGCCGCGGCTCCGAGCCTCGCCCCCCTCCCCTCCCGCGTGACGACGCGACGACGACGACGACGGAGGAGAGG